CCTCCTCGCCAACTCCTCAGCCTTTCTGACAATCATAGCTGCCTGCCCACCTCCACGTGGCTCACTTGTGGGGAAGTTTTTCCTTTCTTTTTTTTTTTTAATGCAACAAAAGAGATGATTCAGAATTAATGGTGTTTTGCCCTGGGCCATGATTTTAACACTTGGATTACAGGTTCATTTCTCATCCCAGGAGAAAGAGAGCAGCATAGAACAAACTCTCACCATTGTCCAAGGCTCCCAAGGTCTCTCATGTCTCATCCCTTTACAGTTGCCTGGCCAGTTGGGCCTTCAGATGGACTTTGCTGCCCCCTACCCCTAGCCTGTGAGCCTCACCCCAAAGTGGATAGCTCCCTGCCCTGTTTCCCCCATTCCTGCTCTGTGCTCTCCATCTCAAAGATCCTGTGCATGATTTTCTGAGACACAGAGGTCCTCAGGGATAGAAACACAGGGTCCATGAGGCAGGTTGAGGACCAGAGAGTGAGTGATGAGTCAAGTTCCAAATGAGATGACGAGCAGGCCAGTATCTGTCCCTGGTGTTGGGAATGTTCTCTCCTCTTCCCATCATCCTTCCCACCACTCCAATTCCTGACTCTCACTCCTGCCTCTCCAGCACCCCCCACCCACCCCAGCCTCCAGCCCCATGGCCCTGGATAGTTCACAAAAACCCAGCAGGCTCAGACTGACAAGGGTCTGATTGATGATCCTGCCACCTGCCAGCTGTACATGTCACTGAACCTTTGCCTGCTCCTGGGACACGTTGGGGCAAACCTTTTGCAGATAAGACTAGGGCAAGTTCCAGAGAGCCCCCGCCTTCTCCAGCAAGAGACATGTCGCTGCTTAGCAGGGCCAGATTAACCCCCATCTGTCCTATCAAGCGCTGCCAGCTGGGGAGGAGCCAAGCCAGAGGCTCTACATGCCTAACAGTTGTGAGGAAGAAGGAGGTAGGGAGGCCCCTGAAGACAGGTGGAAGACACCAGAGACCAGAAAAGGCAGTCACATATTCAGGAGGGTCTTTGCCTCTGCCACTAGCTCAAGGGCCCTGTTTCCCAAGTACCATGGGCAGTACCACTTGGACAGTCTTCTGTCCCTGCTCCACAGCTTATAGAAAGCCTAAAAGTAGAGAAGTAGATAAACTGACTGGAGAGAACCTGGAAGGGGCTTCTAGCCGGAGGCTTCAGAGTGGGGGGCAGACGGGGTTCTGGAGTCCTTGGGCTGCCATCCAAATCCTGTCTCTATCAGTGACACAAGTAAGACCCTGCACATGTTGCTTTTTAAGGCTCAACTTCTTTGTGGTACAGGACACTCACATTTCCTGGAACGTGCTAAGAGGTCCCCCTCCTACCTCCTCCTGGCTCCAATTATCTGAAGGGAAGCGACGACCAGCTGTAGGTCCAGCACCTGGACCCAGAGTACCTTCACCAGGTCCTTCAGCTTTAGTATGTTTTCGGGCACTGCAGCATCAGTGCCAGCAGCCAGCTCAGGTGACTGCCATTTTTCCTGTAATAACACAATCCTCTGCTTCCATTCCATACTTTGATGATTGGCAAAGTACTTTTGCGTCAACTGTCCCCTCCAATCCTATGACCCAGAGGATGACTGTGGTCCAAGTTTCAGAAAGAATGAAATCAGGACTCAAAGAGATGAAACTATTAGTGAACAACAGTGTAGCTAGAGAGCTCACCAGGACTCATGCAGGCCCCCATTCAAGTAAGGAAACGGTTCCTGTATCTGAGCTGGGTTGGGAGGAGGCAAATACAAGCAGGGGTCCTCCTTATCCAGCTTCACAGCAAGCCAAGCCTGGTAGTTCTGGCCCCAGACAGTGTAGTATTGTCTTATATGTGGGAGGTTATTGTCTTTTCCTCCCAAAGGAAAATAATCAAACCCAGATCAGCCAGAGCTCATTAAAATCTCTGCAGACATGGCGGCCCCAGCAATTAACAGAACAATTACTCTTCCATCACCCCAGGGTGAGGGAGAGCTGGACTCTAGCCAGTTCCCTTCTGTACCCTGACTCTCTTCTGACAGCCCTTGGGGTGACTTTTCCACCACTCTCTCTGGTCCAAGCCAGGAGTGGCACCCCCTCCCGCCCCCCACGTCCAAAACCCCTCATCTCTGGGCAGGGGAGATAGCTTAGTAGTAGAGTTGTTTGCCTCACTGAACAAGCATGAGGACCTGAATCCAGATCCCCAACACCCTGGTAAAAGCCAGGCACAGTGGTACAGATCTATAACCCCAGCACTGGGTGTAGGACCAGGGTGGGGGGTGGGGTGCAGCAGAGACACATAGATTACTAGAGCTCACTGGCCAGCCAGTTTAGCACAATCAGTGAGCTCCAGATTCAATGAGAGATCCTGTCCCCAAAAATAAGATAGAGATTGAAGACGCCTAGTATCAATTTCTGGCCTCCACACAAGTGCTACACACAAGGAAGGGAG